GCAGGGAGCCCGATGTGGGACTCGATCCCAGGACTCCAGGATCATGACCTGAGCTGAAGGCAGTCGCTTAACCAACTGAGCCACCCAGGTGCCCTTCCTTTTTATTTTTAAGTAATCTCTACACCCAATGTGGGCCTCGAACTCACCACCCCGAGATCAATTGCATGCTCTACCAACTGAGCCAGTCAGGCACCCCAAGCTTGATTTTTATTCCAATGCAGCAAATATTTATTACTATTGTTACACTATTAATAAGTCGTGTGTTAACAACACATGTGAGGGGTGCCTGGGTGGCTCAGTTGTTAAGCGTCTGCCTTCGGCTCAGGTCATGATCTCAGGGTCCTGGGATCGAGCCCCTCATCGGGCTCCCTGCTCGGCGGGAAGCCTGCTTCTCCCTCTCCCACTCCCCCTGCTTGTGTTCCCTCTCTCGCTGTGCCTCTCTCTGTCAAATAAATAAATAAAATCTTAAAAAAAAAAAACCAAAAAACAAACACATGTGAATACTATCTCACTTAAATCTTACAACGGAAACATTTATTTCTGTGTATTAAGGCTATTATTACTATGTCTTAAGGCTATAAGGCTATGTATTAAGGCCTAATATCAAAACAGAATTGAGTGAACCCTGCTGGCAAGTGGGAACACTCGGGACATCTCCACTTGCTCCTTGTTCTGCTTCAGCCAGAAGTTGTGACTTTACCCAGAAGAACATTTGGGAATTTGCTACATTAGCATTTGCTTCTGGTCTTTATTGCAGACAAGCTCATTGGGTTCTCCTATTTTATTGTGCATTACAGTTCACGTGTCATGTTCAAAATACAAAACCACATATTTGTAACTTTAAGGGAAAATAAAAGATTTTCAGTAGTAATGTGGACTACACAACAAATTTTGAGATGGCTTCAGAATGTAACCGCCATGTAGAATGTGACTCCCTAGTAATATATTTTTTTTTCTTTTTACCAGGCCGACTAGAAGATCAATATATAATTAGATTTATCAAAGAAAAGGTGAAATCTATGCCTTGCAGGAATCAAGGTTATATTTTGGATGGATTCCCAAAGACCTATGATCAAGCTAAAGACCTGTTCAATCGTAAGTTCGAGTGTTCCCCTTATTTTTTATTTTTTTTGTAAGCTTTTCTTTCTTTATGTAAACTCTACCCCCAACGTGGAGCTTGAACTCACAACCTTGAGATAAGAGCCACATGCTCTGTGGACTGAGCCAGCCAGACACCCCTCCTTCATTTGAGTGCTTACATTCAGATAAGTTGCAACGTATCATAGTAATAGTCACTCAGTTAAAATTTAAAAATCAGAGAGACTGTGTCTAAAATACAGGCTTTTCTATTATTGGTTAGTTTTCTAGTTAACTTCTAGTTAAAATATTTTAATTTTTTGCCAAGTTGTCCATAGTGACAGCACGTAATAAACACAACAATGTATATTTTGTTTTATTAGAAGAAGATGAGGAGGAAGAAGAAGAAGTCAGAGGCAAAATGTTTCCCTTTGATAAACTAATCATACCTGGTAAGTTTAAAATATTTCTTGAAGGTCATATTTAGAGGAATGCCATTTTGCACCCAAACCATCTTTTCGATGTCAATAAAGCAGATCTCTCTCCCCTTCTCTCTCTCTTTCTCTCTCTCTCTTTTTTTTTTTTTTAGGGAAAAAGGGGAAACGATACCCTTAAACATAAACTCTCAAGCTAGGGAATGTATGGGGGGCAGCAATCAGGAATACAGGAATACTAAGTTCTGAAATGGACAGAAGTCTCTTTGAGAATGTTCATTTCTGCTGCTCCCTCCAGGAACAAAGCACTGGGTGGCCAGTCCCCTGATGCCTTGACTTCTGAGTCAGTTGGCAAGATGACCAGGGACTGGACCCTTTCTACCATTGTAGGTGCTAGCCATGCCATCATCTTTCCCATCTTTCCCAAATCCAGGGTTGAGACTGGGCAGGTGCAGAGCGTCTCGGTTCACTGTCCATGTAAATACACAGTCGTTGCACGATGTCCTCTTGGAAGCAAAGCATAAACAACGTATTCCACGAAAAAGGATTTGCTGAGTACCCGGCAGGCATTTCTTGTGACCTTGCCTTGAACTTTTCAAGTTTTTTTTTTTTTTAATTAATTTGCATGCAGTATCATCATAGGAAACACAAAAACAGCTTTTTTTAGCAACTGAGCCCGAGGTCGTAATGGCGGGGGGCGGGGGAGGGGGGCTCTGCTCACTTGCGTCAGAGTCCCCATGGGAGTCAGTTGATGACAGCTTGCCATGAAGCTTCTGGAAGCACTGGGGCTACCAGAAAGCAGTCATCCTCAGGGACAGATATTTACTGTTTGCCTGAGGGCCCTGAAGCCTGGGGCAGGAACTTGCAACAGCAAAGGGGTGGGTTGTTTTGGAGTTCCCATGCACGTATGCATTGCGCTTAGAAAAAGTTAAAAAGTTAAAAAGTAAAGTCGATTAACCAGATCTGTCTGGTTTCTGAGAGTTTATCACTTTTGGGCAATATTCATTCATTGCAAACTGCATCGTAAATCCTCATGCTCTCACTGGGGCAGCTCAATGAACCATTTGTCTGTCATGTGCCCAGAACTGCACAAGATAGGAATTCCTTGAGCCTTTGCACGGTCCTGCCAGGCTGGAATTAGTCCCGTGGTTACCTGATCCAGAAGCCAAAGCCCAGGGACTTACCCAAGACCGCTTCCCTGGTACACAGAATGGCTTAAATTCAAACTCGGCCTGCTCTTCCCACTGCCTCCAAAACACAGAATTAATGACACCCCTTCAGGAAATGGAATCACGAACATGAAACAGTCAACGATTCTTAAGCGTGGTCCCCTGGGCTGCCCTCCCTCTGCTGGATGTGGTCCAAACGGGTCGAACATGTCATCTACTTGGAATGTTTAGTCTGTTCATAGTCAGTTATCCTCTTTCTTTTTTTTTTTAAGATTTTATTTATTTATTTGAGAGAGAGAGAGCACATGAGAGGGGGGAGGGTCAGAGGGAGAAGCAGACTCCCCGCCGAGCAGGGAGCCCGATGCGGGACTCGATCCCGGGACTCCGGGATCATGACCTGAGCCGAAGGCAGTTGCTTAACCGACTGAGCCACCCAGGCGCCCAGTTATCCTCTTTCTGGAAATTGTCATTATTTTCTGTCTTCCTGGAAGAAATGAGAGGATTGTCTCATTTGTCCCCGGGGGATTTGAGTACAGGGAGGTGGCTGAGTGAGAGGCCAATGCCATTGAAAGCAGGGTCCCCAGAGCAGGGGGTTTGCCACACCAGGCTGGGTCGCGTGGGGAAGTGTGCGAGGCTTGGTCAGGAAGCAGGAAGCATGGAGGCGAAGGCTAAGCCATTGCCTTAACTGGGGTTTCTGTGGGAAAGGCAAGGCAGGGCCGAGTAAACAGCTTTTTTTTTTAGAGGATTGGCTAGTTTGAGCCAGTCCCAGTGGGTTTTGCTCTCTAGTTCCCTGGTACCTGGCTCTGGGATGATTTAAGGCAGGGAAATATTGGCTTGGTGTGTGAGAGTTATAAAAAGGGGGTGGTCGGGGTCGCCTGGGTGGCTCAGTTGGTTAAGCGACTGCCTTCAGCTTAGGTCGTGATCCTGGAGTCCCCGGATCGAGTCCCGCATCGGGCTCCCTGCTCGGCAGGGCGTCTGCTTCTCCCTCTGACCCTCCCCCTCTCATGCTCTATCTCATTCTCTCTCTCAAATAAATAAATAAAATCTTTAAAAAAAAAAAAAAGGGGGTGGTCATCTTGTATATGAGGGCCATGCTCCTGAGTAAGTGGTTGACTATCTTTAGGAATTAGCTAGTCCTGAAAGGGGCAGTGTCTCTCTAGGTGTGTAACGCCCTCCGGAGATGTCAAAACATTGTAAGATACAGAAAATAATAAATCTGATTAATACAAGTCTCCGTGCTTGATTTGAATGATAACGCATTTGAATCTGTGGTGACCCAGTCGTAGGTGGTATTATCTCTCCTTGATAAATTGTTGCTTTTTACAACTGCTGCTAGCCTGCATCCAGTTCAGTTCTTTTCAGATCTCGTTGTTGAAGCAGACAAGTTTAAAGTCATACCTGCTTGGGGCTCCTGGCTGAGTCGCCACTCTTCATCTCAGGGTCATGAGTTTGATCCCCATATCGGACGTGGAGCCTACTTAAAAAAGTGAAAGTAAATAAATAAATAAATACAGTTGTATCTGCTTGATGACTATGGAAAAAATGTTTTAAAACACAGATTTTCAGGGGCGCCTGGGTGGCTCAGTTGGTTAAGTGTCCAACTCATGATTTTGGCTCAGGTCATGATCTCATGGGTCATGAGATCAAGTCCTGTGTCAGGCTCCGTGGGGAGTCTGCTTGAGATTATCTCTCTCTCTCTCCCTCTGCCCCTCTTCAAATAAATAAATAAATCTAAAAACAAAACAAAACAAAACAAAAAAACAGGGGCACCTGGGTGGCTCAGGCGTTAAGCATCTGCCTTTGGCTCAGGTCTTGATTTCAGGGTCCTGGGATCAAGCCCCGCATCGGGCTCTCTGCTCAGCGGGAAGCCTGCTTCTCCCTCTCCCACTCCCCCTGCTTGTGTTCCCTCTCTTGCTGTCTCTCTCTCTGTCAAATAAATAAACAAAATCTTAAAAAAAAAAACATTAAAAAACCCCAAAAAACAAAACAACAAAAAACAGATTTTCACATGACTCTAGATAGCCAAATACAGTGACCTCCTTGTTATATACAATCTTAACAGCAGAAATCTGTTACTTGCTATCCATAGTTAGCAGTACACGGACAGTATATATTCCTTCTTTTAAAGAAAGATTTGTTTATTTGAGAGGGAGAGAGACAGAGAGAGCACGCAAGTGGGGGGAGGAGCAGAGAGAAAGGGAGAGAGAGAATCTCAAGCTGACTCTGAGCTGAGCTGGGAGCCCAACATGGGGCTCGATCTCACAATCCTGAGATCATGACCAGAGCTGAAATCAAAAGTTGGATGCTCAACTGACTGAGCCACCCAGGCTCCCCAGGACAGTAGATGTTCTGAATAATTATCTCGAGGTACTGCAAAATCCTGAAGTTCTGTCTGAATCATAAGAAAGGACTTTTAAAAATACCATCTGGGGGCACCTGGTTGGCTGAGTCAGTACAACATGCAACTCTTGCTCTTGGGGTCATGAGTTCAAGCCCTACCTTGGGTGTAGAGCTTACTTAAAAAAAAAAAAATCATCCAGTGGGAAATATATTCCATCACGCTAAAGTTCTTTGAAATCTGGAAGCCAAGTACATCACTCACTGTTCATGGTACTTGATTAACTGGAATCTTCCTTCTCCCAATCACTGGGGAGAAAAATACAGCATTGCATTTTATTTTATTTATTTTTATTTATTTATTTTTTTAAAGATTTTATTTATTTATTTGTCGGAGAGAGAGACAGAACACAAGCAGGGGGAGAGGCAGGCAGAGGGACAAGCAGGCTCCCTGCCGAGCAAGGAGCCTGATGTGGGACTCGATCCCAGGACCCTGTGATCATGACCTGAGCCGAAGGCAGCCGCTTAACCGACTGAGCCACCCAGGCGTCCCCAGCATCGCATTTTAAAATTCTTAGATTACTAACAGAATTATTAACTTTTCATCTAGATGCCTGATGTCGTGGAGCTTAACTAGATTCAAATTTCAGTGAATTTATTGACATAATTTCAATTCAAGTACTCTACCAGCATTTGGAGGTCCAGCTGTCTCCTCTCCTTTTCAAAATATAGCCACTCATGAAAATCAAATGATCACAGATGAGCATCTAAACTAAATTAAGATAGGTCAGAAGAGTGGCAGCATCAGACTATGGTTATGAATTTATTGGATCTTGTTCCACAAGCTCTGTCCTCAACCTTTCTTTTTTTTTTTTTTTTTTTAAAGATTTTATTTATTTGAGAGAGAGAGCACATGAGAGGGGGGAAGGTCAGAGGGAGAAGCAGATTCCCTGTTGACAGGGAGCCCGATGCGGGACTCGATCCCGGGACTCC